ATAATATTAAATACATTGGTCTACAGGCACAGTGAACTCTAGTATATAACGATCTTTCTAAGAATTACAAATTTTAAGTTCCTATATGAATGAACGCACATCCATACGCACATTCAACATGCGAGCTGGAATGGGCCTTTTTTCGAGAAAAGAAAACGCTTTTAGTTTGAGCACTCCAGTTTCCGTGATCAAAGTTTAAACTCATCCTAAGTAAGGGCCGTTTTCTGAAGTATTCTTTAACTATAAAACTCGAATTATGTTTAAAGGTTGCATTGACAATAAAGCTGTGTCTCAAGTTAAGCATTTCTATGATCGAGTTTTGGCGAACAGTACCTACGTTTCTTGGTTGTAAGCCAATTTAAAACCGATAATAAAATGCTTTACTTTAGACATAATCATAAATTTTAATGCAACCTTTAAATATAAAGTGAGCGGGCCTAAGAAATAGAAAAGTTATACATAACGGTAAAAACCATCTCGAGATTGCGCTAAAAAAATTTTCATATTTACTATTAATAATGACGAAGAAGCGATCGATATGTAAAAAAAGAGCTTTTTGGCAAAGCTTCCTCTTCAATTTAAGGTGTACGTCTTACTTAGCAAATGCTTTTATGACAATTTTTTATGAAAAAAATATATGCATATATGTACATATCTGTGTTCAGGGCCGGCTTTAGGCCCTCGCCTCGCCCTAGGGGCGCAGAATTCTGGGATTGCGTTTAATTTTGTAGAACATAAAATTTTCGAATGCGAATTTTCTTCAACGACGGGTGGGGGACTGACTAATCTTCTACTCGAAAATATTGAAAACATCAACATAAATATCAGTTATTTACAAAGCAAAGGAGATCAACCCGGGGTCTTCGAACTAAATGCGAGAGTACCATTTGTACAAAAGGGATGACATTCCTTGAATTTTGTGTTCGTGTTTGTACTTCAACGCATCTACTTTCTATTCTGAGCATCTACCCAGAGATGGATCATTTCCAAAAATCATTTCCAAAATCTCATCGTCACACCATTATGCACAACTCGTTGGGAAAACAGACTGGACATGGTTAAAGTCATTAAATATCAGGCTAAAGAAATTTAGGAAGATTTTCTTTTCCTCTGATCTTAAATATCTCGCAGTCCTACATGATTACAAAATTATGCGATTTGAATTTCTTATTACCCTGGCTGTTTGTTATGAGCTCCATTCCTGGTCAATCTCATGAGTAAATCAATGCAGAGTACTAGAGCTGGAAAACTATCGATGAGACTATCGATAGCATCGATGGTTTTTGACTATCGAAAACATCGATGGTTTTGTAAGCACTATCGATAGTTTTCACTCATACATATATTATTCAGTAACATACATATTTCAGAACGCAGATGCTACTTGAAGCTAAAATCGTTGATAAACTTTTTTTTCTTAGAAAAAAGATCGTCATATTTTAGCCATTCTGATCTCATTTTCAATAAAAGTTGTTATGTTTATTTTTTGGACTGTTTTAATCAAAATTATCGATAAATGTAGCTTTTGGGGATTATTATCAGGATAAATGAAAAACTTTCGGTTTTTACACAACGTTTCAGAAATATAAACCGAAATATACGTGCGAATGTAACGTTAAAGAAGATTTAGCACCAAAACTCAAAATGATATTTTTTGCCACTTGTGTATGTATGAGTATTTATTTATTTTTAATAATTGTCATTTAAAATAAAGCCCATCCATTAGAAAATATCTTTTTCTTAAACATCTTTTTGGATCACGAACTTATTCGCGAAAAACGAAATTTTATAATAACAGTGTATGTACATATTTACTACAATTGTTTACAAATAGTGAATTGCTTCTATGCACACATACTATCGTTCGTGTTTTTAGTTAAGGTGACTCATCAATTGAAGCTAAACAATTGGGCTTTGAACCTACTGCACTGCACGCCTGAATGCATTTACGTCGGCAGGTGTTAAGTAGATAACTTGAATTCAAATTTAAAATTGCACACAATAACGATGGGAAGCTTAAGCTGAGCTGGGCCATTGTTCGAGCAAATGTTGTGTCGAGAATTGTGTATTTGATTTTGTAATTTGCATTCCCTTCCTAATTTCGATACTTGTTTAAATAAATCATATGACCACATTTACATATGCATTTATATATCTGTAGTCATAAGCAATAACTACCTAAGTTGACTTAAGAAGGAATTGAGTTATACATATATGCCATCGTATTCTGCAGCTACTATTCCATGTGTATGTGAAATCCCCATCTCGCCAGCTAGGCTATTTAATAATTTTTAGACGAACCTATTTAGGCGGCTATTGCTTATGACCGCAGATATATGTATGTATGTATGCATTTCGAAGTCGAGAATTTTTAGGGAAACGGCCCATGTTTATCCAAATATATGTATGTATGTAAATTTGCAAACATCCTTATGTTTTTACATACATATTTACATATAAATAAATACTTTTTAAATACGTTGCATATATGTGTATTTGTATATACATACATCCATCCATACAGAAATGAAATTATTCAAGTTTTTTAAAATGAGCTTTGTTTTTTTTTTTTTAATTTCTTAATAAAAAACATGCTTAGCTTGGTAGCGCTTTCACACTCGTGCTGAGAGTATGACTGGTTCCGCTTCAATTTCTGCCACCTTCTCTTTAAGTTCGGCCTCAGTTTCTTTCAATTCCGACACTGATTTCTTGGTAGTTGTTGTTGTAATGAGTGTTTCTGGTTGTTCGGTGGTGGCAGGCTGGTTGGATTCGTCGCTATGCTCGGTGTGCTCGTTGACCTTATCTTCCGCTTCCTGGGCTTTGCTCTGCTCTTTGTGATCATCAATCTTCTCGGAATCTCCCTGTACGGGGCCAGCGTGTATATTTGTCTTTGTGATAGTTATTTGTGTTGGCTTGGAGTCCGTGTCCTTAAATGTAGCCGATATTAGCTTTGTGTGATGCACCTGAAAAGCTGGTACCACAGGCAGATCTCCAAAGTGTGGCTGCACCGAAATATGTTCAACTTGTATTCGGGTGGTTCCGGTTTCTTTAGTGGATATCTGCTCTGTCGTTGTTTCTACTAAATCGGCAATAGTCGTGTCCTCAGAGTTCTCGGAACTTTTCTGAGTTCCAATTTTGTCAACTTGCTCGGCATTTTCCGTTTTTCTTTTGAGCACTAAATGACTTTCGACTTGCGCTGAGGTGGCTTCAGGGACTCCCGGTGCTTGTTGTGAAAAACCACCAACACTAGATGCTGATTGGAAAAAATTCGACTCCAAATCGCCAATGAGCGACTGCAGTGAAACTTTTTTTATTTCCGTATCTGGATTGTCTTCGTATATTCGACGCTTGACTATCTGCGATTGTTTGTCTGGATTATAGAGGTTAACATTTTTTAAATACCCAGCGAAAATGTCTTCTATTTCGGTTGGACGCGCTAACGCCAATCCGCAAAATGTGACAAGCAACTGAAAATCAAGTGCATCATTAATTTGCAAATTAAAATCCAGTGAAAATAACTCACGACAATACATGTTGCCTTCCACATCATATAGACTATTTATGTATGTATGTATGTACGTATATTCGTTTAGACTAACTGTGGCTTCAAGATCTGATGCGACGCGACTGCTTTCCTTCAAGCACAATTTATCTTAGAAATAAACTTGCTTGGTGTAACGCTTTTTAAAGTTTTCGTCACACGCTAGCACAGCAGCGAAGCTTCTCCAATATGAATATTTGAAAGGTGTGAATTAATTCGTTGATGCGTTTCATATTTTATAGCTACCGACAGCCGATTTTAGTTTTGGCTGCCAGCAGTGAATAATGGAACAGCCTCATTAGATGACTACTTCTACGCCACCTCCATAAATTAGATTAAAATGCTTGCTTACATATGGACATTGCCTCCTTACGGATGTTGAATTCGGAGACATACTTGCACATACATACATATGTAAGAAAAATGCTTATTGTCATAAATAGCCATCATCTCCATACTTAGTTAAGAATGCATAAATAAACAACCTTAACCACGAGGCATTTTCAATTCACTGGAGATGGTGCGAAGCCTCAAAAAACGGTTTAAAGTTGTACCGACGTTTGTTTTTTCTTAAAGAGTTTGCAGTTCCTGTTGTTGTTGTTGTTGTTGTAGCGGCTACAACAACCCCGCCCAGATCGGTTGGTCTCTCAGTCGTTGTCGTCAAGTTCCACTAACGGCAACCCTAGGAAGCGTGCAGCTTCTGCGGGGTTTGCCCATAGGGACAAGGCCGTTAGGGTTGTCGGGTTTTCCGGGCATGCGAAGAGATGTTTCGAGTCATGTGGGGTCTCTCCGCATGCCGGACATTCGTTCGGCACATCCTCATTCAACCTACTCAAGTAGGAGTTCAACCTGCTGCAGTAGCCGGAGCGAAGTTGTGCGAGTGTAGTGCGTGTCTCCCGAGGCAGATGAAGCTCCGTAAATATTTTTGGTTATATTTTTATAATCACCATATTCACACATAAATCCAAGTTTCGAAATATGTACGAAATTTAGGTTAGGAAAAACCTGCAATCTTCATGAAAGCAATGTGACTTTTTAATTCCATTGTAGATTAACATTTTAGCATGCAGAAGCTTAGAATATTTTTATTTTCACAAAATTGAAAGCAAAATTGAAACTCAATTGAAAGGGAAAATTTGAAAGCAAGTTGCCCACTCAAGTAATAAATCAGAGTATGTTAGTGGAAAAGTGTGAGTGTATTGAAAATTGAAAGGGGAAAATTGAATGTGTAACGTCCCGGTACCCACCATGCAAAACATGAGAAATAGGCAACAATCGTCAATGGCAACAAATTGGCGACTCACCGATTTATTGCTGTGGTGACAAATCGGCAACATCACTTCATTCATGTCAATTTTGAATAAAAAAGTTCTCAAAAATTCCGAAACTTATGAATATGACGTCAATAGTATTGGCCAAAAGCATCTAAATTATGCCCAAGGACAAGATTGAAAAAATAGGAAGCCTCACAGCGAGAAAATGAATTAATTCCGATTGTAAGTTGCAATTTGGTATACAAAAAAAATAAATGAAGTATTAAAAAGAAAAAAATTATTCCAAATATCGCCTGAATCGATAAGAAAAGGACTTATTCAGGTAATAAGAAAACGACTCGCCCAGGCGAGTTGCCTTCGGCGGACGTTTTAAAGCGACCGGTAATAGGAAATCGATTCGATGGCAATATTACCGGCAATAAATTTGTTTCCGAGGGCGACACATTTTCTTATTGCTGGCAACACAAATTGTTTGGTGGGTAAGAATTTATAAAAAAACGAGTGTGTATACAGTTGTATAGCCCATTCACTTTTAGTAAAATAAATTGCAAAATTCACATGTCTTAAAATTCGGGTTGATTTTTGGTAATTTTT